GTAGTGATACTGCCTCGGAAACCCAAGGAGGGGTCACTATGAGTCGGGGCCAACTTGACGGCAAAACAACAACAACAACAACAACATATTGGGTCATGTTGGTCTTCATTGTGAAGTCCATTTTCAATAAAGCGTCCAATGGACTTGCTTAGCTTCTTACCTAGTGTCCCTGGTGGCTGGAATTTGCTTTGCAGTATGGCTGGTCCATGGTGAGACAGTTAGGGACCATTGGATCTAGCGAATGTAAATAGTCAACATGGAAGAGAAGGGTGGCCCTGGCACCATTTAAATGGCCAGAGCCCAGAAATAGTTAAGAAAAAGCTAAAGAAACAGATATCTTGTCAATTATCTAGGGTCCCTGGGTGGTAAAAATGGTTTTCACTCAACTATTAACCTAAAGGTCGACAGTTCAAACCCACTCAGCCACACTGTAGAAGTCTGGAGATCTGCTTCTGTAAAGTTATAGCCAAGATAATCCTATGGAGGCAGTTCTGTAACCAATGGGGTCTCCATGAGTCAGAATTGACTCAACAATTACAGATTTTGTTTGGTTTGGTCAATTATCTAGAGCTAGAAAGCCTCAAACTTTTTTCAATCTTTGATACTAAACAGAAGTCTCTGGGTAATGCAAACAGTTAACATGCTTGGCTGCTAACCAAAAGGTTGGTGGTTTGAGTCCAACCAGAGGCACTTCAGAAGAAAGTCCTGGTGATCTACTTCCAAAAGATCATCCATTGAAAACTTCATGGAGCACAGTTCTACTTTGACACATGTGAGGTCACAATGAATTGGAGTCAAATCAATAGCAACTGGTCTTACTGCTTTGATGCTAACCAACAATGGTTGTACATTTTCCAATGCATGCCTTCATTGCTGGGAATCCTGAATTTATAACTGAACCAACTTCAGTTCCACAGCCAAGACTCTTTTTCAAGGTGACATTGGACTTTCCTCATCTTCTATCTGAGCCAGTAGTAGTCAGTGCTGAGACCAAGTGCCTCTGAGTCAGTTCATCAGGGTACAGAGGTTTGGTTGTAGGACAATCTTATCTCCCTGGCCCTCTTGCCTGGCTAGATCTCTGATTAAGGTAGATTCTTTTACTGTACAAGCTACTTTTCCCAAAGCATGATACCCAGTTTTCCATCAACTTTTTGGAAGTGTAGTAGTCCTGAATGCTGCCTCATGCAAGGCCCTTCCTTCCTAAAACATCATCCCAGCCAGCCCTGCTTCCCCACAGGCAAGGCTGCTTAGACAATATGACTTTCCCTGCCTAAGGCACTTGACTGCTAATCAGAAGCCTGGAGGTTCAAACCCACCAGCCGCTCCTCGGAAGGAAGATGAGGCAATCTACTTCCGTAGTGATACTGCCTCAGAAACCCAAGGAGGGGTTGCTATGAGTCGGGTCGACTTGATGGTACATAACAAAAACAACAACACCTCAAGGTCTTACCATCCACATCAATCCTCAGAGCCAAAGTTGTGCCACACTCAGTCTCTGCAGGCCACAGCTACATGTCACCTTCCTAGGAGAAAACTGCTTCCTGCCCTGAGGGGGGAGGTGTCCCTCAAAGCTGGCTTTCCCTGACCCAGCAGTAGCACCCTTTTCAGCTGTCCCTTTCTGTTCTCAGACAAAAGGAACCAGCTGATCTGTTTGAATGAAAATGGGGGCTGTGAACAATACTGCAGCGACAACCCAGAGACCAAGCGCTCTTGCCGGTGTCACGAGGGCTACACACTCATGGCTGATGGAGTGTCCTGTGTGCCCACAGGTAACAGGTTCTTAGGAACTGCTCTCTAGGGCACAGTTATGCCTTATTAGCTATTTACTGTTTAGTGTTTGCCAGATGAGCCAGCCACCAATTCCCATCCCATTGCACATTACCTCAGATGGCTGAAAGATGAGAAGGGGTTGGCGTAACATTTACTGAGCATCTACTAAGTGTTGATGATATAATGAGGCAGGGAGAAAGACCAAAGGCCAAGATGGCTGTCCCCACCCAAGTGCAGGCCAGAGCCATAGTGATTAGAGTTGCAACATACAGTTCACAAGAACCAAGACAGAAGGTCAACCCACCCCAGACACACAGGCAGTAGTTCTCTGGATTGTTCTCAAGCCATCCACCCCCTTCTAGCACAGGCCCAGAAAATCAGAGTGAGACTGTCTGCCTCATTCTAATTCCACACTTGTGAATTTCAGAGGCTTTTTGGACTTCTACTAGGGTTTCCTGAATCTAATAAATCCACACCCAGTGTCTGTACCTCCTATTGCACAATTCAAAAGACCAATTATTTTTAAAGACAAGCACTTTTAGAAAAATGAGAAATTTCTCCAAACCAACCTCAAACAAACCGGAGCTACAATTTCAAAGGCTGAGGGACTCCATACCAATTGTGGCTCTTCAGAGATGGTTTTACCCAGCCTGGTAGAGAAAGGCTCAAATTTAGCCTACTACTTAGAAACTTTTTTTTCCCCCTGGGCCAAAGACTTTATTGGAACAGATTGGGAAAAAAAAAATGCAGTCAAAAGTCAAAATAGCACTATGTTATTGTTCTGGTTACCTAGTGCCACTCTGACAAGAATATACCACAAATGGGATGGCCTTAACAAACAGGAGTTTATTCTTACAATTTGGAGTCTTTAAGTCCAAGTTCAAAGTGCCAGCCTCTAGGGGCTGGGTGAAAACCCCTCAACCTTGGGGTCCAACTCTGCCTCCTGCTCCAGGCCCACTAGAGCTAGAAGCATTTCTTCACTCAGACAGCTGCTGGCTGCTGAGGTTGAGAAGCCCCAAGGTTGACAAGTAAAAAGGCACAGTCCTGATATTACCAAACCACATTGCAGGCCATTAACTTAATTCCCTTGTAAGTCCCAAGGTCAGCAAAGCATGGCAGGATGCTGAGCAACGACACTACACAGCTACATGCAGGGTCCAAGCATGCCATAGGCTAGAGACCATTCCCAAAGCTGTTTCTTATGTATGGGAAGCAGACCACATACCCAAAACAGCTACTCAGCTGCTTGTGGTAGATCCCACCATGGAGTTGATTGCCAGTCTCATCATGGGGAATAATTACCACCAGCTGCCCAGCCACTCA